GCAGATCTGCTCGCCTTGGATATCATAACACCTGAATAATACAAGTACAACTCACAATGGCTCTTGATCTAACTACCATAAATTTTCATATAAAGACAGTCTGCTTTACAAAGATAGGCTGTTGAAATGGCATTTAGGTGAATTTTCTCTTGTTTCAACAATACCATTTGGTGAGAGATAGATTCGTCTTGGGGAGATTTATAATCAGGCCTGTGGGATAGTGCATCTGATTTGTCTTGATCTTTCCCTGGATGGAATAGGATTTCAAACTTGTAGTTAGACAAGTATAATGACAAACAGGCCTGATGATGATTGAGGAGCTGAGCAGAAGTAAAGTATTAGAGATTTTTATAGTTGCAATAGATGATAATTTTATATTGGGCCTCTTTTAGATAAAGATGCCACTGTTTAAAAGCAGTTATAATAGCTAGAAGCTTCTTGTTGTAGACATTATAATTTATTTCTGCAGATAAGAACTTCTGAGAGTAATATGCAACTGGGTGCAGATGGCCATCTTCTTGAGATTGGGACAGTATGGCCTCTAAAGCATAGTCTGAAGTGTCAGTCTCCAAAAAAAATTGTTTTTTAGAATCCATGTGTACCAGAATTGGGGCTAAAGTAAAAGCTTTCTTTAATCTTTCGAAAGCTATTTGTGTATCTTTGGTCTATTTGAACCCCTTATTTGATATTTGAGTCAGGTTTGTAAGGAGCATGGCCTCTTGAGAATAGTTATTTATAAAGTGATGGTAGTAATTAGCAAATTCTAAAAACTGTTGTATTTCTCTAAGAGTTGTAGGTATAGGCCATGAAAGCAAATTGTTAACTTTTTTTCTATCTATTTCTATCTCTGTAGGCTTTATGGTATACCTTAGGAATTCGATGCAATCTCTATCAAACTCACACTTCTCTAGTTTTGCATACAGACCAAATTGATAGATCATTCTAAAACTTGTTTAACATGTAGGGTATGTTCTTCAGGGGCTGCTGAGTATACTAAAACATCATCCAGGTATATAATAATGAATTTAACTAAAAAATCTCTGAACATATCATTCATAAGATATTAAAAGACTGCCAGAGCATTTGTAAGCCCAAAAGGCATTACCAAATATTCAAAAAGATCATAACAGGTACGAAATGCAGTCTTTCATTTGTCACCTAGTTTGATCCTAACTAGATTATAAGCGCTTCTCAGATCTATTTTAGTAAAGATTTGAGCTAAGAATAGATAATATAATAATTTTAAAATAAGAGGAAGTGGTTATCTGTTTTTTATAGTAACTTGATTCAAACCATGATAGTCTACACATAATCTCAATAACTCATCCTTTTTCTTGATAAACAGTATAGGGGCTCCAACAGAAGACCTAGAGTGTCTAATATATCCTTTGTCCAGGTTTTCTTCTATATACTTTTTCAGTGTTTCTAATTCTAATTCTAACAGTCCATATATAGGCCCCTATAGAGGCTGTTTTCCAGTTACTAAGTCTATGGCACAGTTATAGGGTCTGTGCTCTGGTAATCTATTCGCCTCTCTTTCATCAAATATATCACTAAAGTTATTATATTTTGTTAGAAGTGTCAGGGTAGGGGTAATAGAATCCCCTCTTACAGAGGCCATGTGAAAAACTTGAGCCAAAAAGACTCTTTCTGATGTACTGATGTAGGTTGTTGGTTGTTTTGTCAATGCATATTAAGATGTAGATTACAATCTGCATCTGGAAATTTTAGTATATGCTCGTGCCAACTAATGTTAGGGTTGTGGTGGACTAACCATGGTAGTTTCAGAATGACTTGATGGTGTGGCGTTTGAATCAGATTAAATATGATTTCTTCATAATGGTTCTGATAATATAGCAGCATAGCCCAGTCTCACTGCTCCAGACAATATTTCTCGTCTATCTATTACTTCAACTGATAGTGGTGTACTTTTAGTATTGATAGGTAAGTTGTATTTGTATACCAATGTATAATTGAGGAAACAAGCCAAAGCTCCAGAGTCTATTAATGCATTAATGGGCAACATGGATTTGTTTGAAAGTTGTATAGATACTGATATAACAAAAGTATCTATTAAAGTATCAGGAATTAGTTGTATGGGCCTTCGTTACAAGTGCTATCCAACTGCAGACCTCTTATTGCAGTTGGGGCTCCTCTTTTCCTGAGTTTTCCAAATTTGTCTCCACATCATCAATGCTATGCTTGGCATTCTTTTTTCTCGGGCAACTCTTAGTTATATGCCAAGGTTTGCCACAGTATAGGCAGAGATTATTGGCCTATCATCTCTGTTTTTCTTCTTCTGAAAGAGTCCTTGTCCTTGTTGAATCGAGTTACTATAAAAAACAGATACCCACTTCCTCTTATTTCAGAATTACTACATCGTCTATTCTCAGCTCGAATCTTTACTAAAATAGATCTGAGAAGAGCTTACAATCTAGTTAGAATCAAACTAATTGATGAATGGAAGACTACATTTCATACCTGTTACGGTCTTTTTGAATATTTGGTAATGCTTTTTGAGCTTACAAATGCTCTAGCAGTCTTTCAACATCTGATGAATGATGTGTTTAGAGATTTTTTAGATAGATTCATTATTATATACCTGGATGATGTTTTAGTACATGTCACTCTGGTTATATCAACATTTTTGAGCCATTAGTAAAAAAATTCAATATGTCGATACAGTGAGTTATACTGACATTTTATATTAAATTTTTTAAAAAAATTGTCAGTATAGACAGATTTTACTATAATGTCATTATATCCAGATATCGGTATAACTAGAGTAATATGTATACTCAGCAGCCCTTGAAGAACATACTCTACATGTAAAACAAGTTTTAGAATGACTCCGTCTATTTGGTCTGTATACAAAACTGGAGAAGTGTGAGTTTGATAGAGATTGCATCGAATTCCTAGAGTATACTATAAAGCCTACAGAGATAGAAATAAATAGAAAAAAGGTTAACAATTTGCTTTCATGGCCCGTACTTACAACTCTTAGAGAAATATAGCAGTTTTTAGGATTTGCTAATTACTACCGTCACTTTATAAAAAACTATTCTCAAGAGGCCATGCCCCTTACAAACCTGACTTAAAAATCAAATAAAAGGTTCAAATGGATTAAAGATACACAAATCGCTTTCAAGAGTTTAAAGAAAGCTTTTTCCTCAGCCCCAATTCTGGTATACGCAGATCCTAAAAAACAATTTTTTTGGAGACTGACGCTTCAGACTATGCTTTGGGGGCCATACTGTCCTAACCTCAAGAAGATGGCTATCTGCACCTAGTTGCATATTACTCTCAGAAGTTCTCACCTGCAGAAGTGAATTATAATATTCACGACAAGAAGCTTCTAGCTATTATAACTGCTTTTAAACAGTAGCAAAATTACCTAGAAGGGGCCCAACATAAAATCATCATCTATTGTGACTATAAAAATCCCCAATACTTTACTTTTGCCTGGCTCCTCAATTGTCATCAGGCCCGTTGGTTATTATACCTGTCCAACTACGAGTTTGAAATCCTATTTTGTCCAGAGAAAAATCAAGGCAAATCAGATGCACTGTCCCGCAGGCCTGATTATAAACCTTCCTAGGGCAAATTCATCTCTCACCAAATGGTATTGTTGAAACAAGAGAAAATTCATCTAAATGCTGTTTCAACAGCACCATTAGATTATGTCCTTTAGCAACATGTTAAATCTTATTTAAAAGAAATCCACTCACCTTAGATATTATAAAACACCTGAATATACTATTACAACTTACAATGGCTCTTGATCTGACTACCATAAATTTTCATATGAAGATAGTCTGCTTTACAAAGATGGGCTATTATATGTACCTAGTATAGCAGAACAACTTAAAGTATTGCAGACTTGGCATGACTTTAAGTTAGCTAGGCACTTTGGAGCAGCTAACCTATTGAATTAGTAACCAGAGACTATTGGTGGCCCATCTCCAATCCTTTGTATGAAAATATATCAGAACTTGCAACACATGTGCTAGATCAAAGACACCAAGACATCGTCTCTATGGATTGTTAATACCTCTGCCCATTCCTTCACACCAATGGCAATCTATATCTATAGACTTCATAACTGACTTATCTATATTCTCAGGTTTCGACTCTATCCTAGTAGTGGTGGAACATCTGACGAAAATAGCTCATTTCCTTGCTTGTTATAAAAATATTACTGCTGAACAAACTGCCCAATTAGTGATTCAGGAAATAGTCCGTCTACATGGAATATCTAAAGAAATTATCTCCGATAGAGGGCCACAATTTGCTTCCTGGTTCTGGAAGCATCTCTTCGAACTCCTAGAAACAAAAATCAGTCTATCTTCAGCATATCATTCACAGACAAATAGGCAGAGTGAGAAGGTCAATCAAGTACTGAAGCAATACCTACAGTATACCATAAATTATCACCAGGATGATTGGGCTGATCTTCTACCTTTAGCTGAATTTTCTTACA